GAGCTCCAAGCAATCGGCCATCGTATGAGTACTTTGGTCTACTTTTACGCGTTTATGCGGTTGTATGAATTTTGCGATTTGTGCGTCTGCAGTCCTCATTACGTTTGTGTGCAGTAGTGTCTGTGTGTCGATGACGGTATCGCTGATTTCGGTGCTCAGTGTTTGTGTGTGCATGTATGGGGCCGATGAGTCAGATACGACGGAGCTACAGCATCCGGAAAAGGCAATAAAAGCACCAACTCACCAATCCACTCACACCCTGACTACATCATGTGAACCGCCAGGAGAAGACATATAATGTGTTACTAGCACAAGTAACTATCTACAGCGAATAGAATCGTGACGCGAATCTACTCAACGCGGGGCCTGAGAAAAGAGCCGGTCGTGGATGCAGGTAACCTGGCCTTTCTAACATTGAGCTCTTCGCAACAGTACATGTGGAGACGACTTAACCCAATTTTATTTTCTAAAGGTTCCGACAAAGTGAGAAAAATTGCTTTCGCGCATCTCCGCATACACACCCATCCGACTGTGGGTGTGTCTAGTTATCAGATTGCTTGTGCACAAACACTGAAGACCTAATCACTGCAACATATCGGCCTCGGCAACCGATGATGACATCTTTCCACGCGTCTGCAGTCTCGGTATCTATCTCTCTCTCTCTCTCTCTCTCTCTCTCTTATTCGCATTGCTTCACCACGACAGCCATCACATGGGGACCCGATTTCATACAATCCGTTTTCGACTCGCATGACCGCCCGTTGGGCAGATAATTGTGCATCCGCGTTTGGGGAGTCATCATCGGCCGGCCGTTGGGGCCAGGCGGAAGAGAAAGACACGAAGAAGACTTGGCGTCTTTTGGGGAAATATTTATCAATTGCATCAGGTAAGCTGTAAACAAGCCAGCTTTGGGATGGTCATGGTGGTGCGATGTCGGAAAGGCGATTGAGGGAACAACGAAAGGGATCAGAAGTAGCAAGTCATCGAGGATGAGGGAAGTAAGGAAGAAAATAGTAGAATCATAAACTAAAGAATCAAAATCATC